TGTTTCACGCTTAAGGGTAATTGGCGTGATGATATAGAAAATACACTAATTGTTTATTATAGAGTTCTTAGGTTTTGTGTGTGTGTATTACTTTGCAGATGTGGCTTTATTACACAAATGGTGTGAAATGATGATGGCATCACATTCAAAGCTTTGGCAAAGACAACAAAGTTTAAACTTACAATCATTTCTCTTCCTTCGGCTGAAGATCCAATTCCATGTATGGAACACCGATCAGGAAACAGTACCACTAAATCCTCTAGGAGTTTGTTGATAGTTTCCAACCTATGGTATTTCGTCCAATCCATGATGCAGCTACCTATCACCATTTTCATTTTATTTTCTACGACGACGTTCGATAAGTCATACGCTATGGATCACTGTTTTGCAACTAACACTTCTTATTGATTATAATTTACAGAAGCACGAGTTTTTACCTTACATGATTAAGTAAACAAAACATACTTAACTACCGGTAATTATTAGAACAAAACAACACTTAGATAATGACCACTAAGTTAGTCTGTAATCAATTGATGGACTTTTAATTATTCCATAGAATAATTAAAAGGTCCTAAATAGCATAAAAATATGATAATTGGATGATGAGATAATCGTAACTTAAGCTTACTTTTGCAGAAGGCTTTGGCAAGAGATGCTTGTTGGTATTCGATGATGGCATTGACGTCAGCGACGGCTACCGTATACGGAATCTCTCTCTCGTGGAATATTCCGGCAATAGACGGCAAGCGGTTGCCTTCCACGAGAACGTCCATATTGCTTCGTTCCTCTTTCCATATATTAACAGCTGGAAATCACATAGGCTTCTTGTAAAGTACACACATCATATCTCCTCAAAAGACAACCATCTCTTGACCCGTAACCCAGAATCTCAAGAAGTCACTGAACGAAAGAAAATATGAACAAAAATAAATAAACAAACTTATACGTCAACGTACAGAGAGACCGGTGCTTCATAACTCGAGCTATTTGAACAATAAAAAATAATATTCCGCCAAGTATTTTATCTGGTGGAGTCAGTCTTTGATCTTCCTTGAAAATCGGACTCTTATATCTAAGCATGTTGTACATTAATTTGAGTTTCAGGGCAAACAGTAAAGTTTTCATAGTAAAGGTTAATGGCTCTTAGGTCGTTTGAGCTGGGAATCCTTCTGTGGAGCAAGGATTACACACCTCCAACGGAATCCAAGTTTTTGACGAAATACCTTTGTCCTTCCCTAGTGAACTTTAGCTCCCATACTTGGGTGTGGTTAATATTGCTATCTCTTGAAAGCGACGCCACTTTGATTGTGCAGTGAGATAGAAAACAATAAATATAAGATAGATTTTGGGCTTGTTTCACTTGTAATTTTGGATGTTTACTGCCAAGAAAATGACAACTGTCATCATTTCTTTTTCAAATTCTGACGGTGCAGATTTTTTTTTAATTTTTAATATAATGCAACCATCGAGTATATGCAACATACCTGCTCTTTAGTTGCAACATCAGTGTTTGAACTTTATCTTGCGAATATTAAAATTTCATATTGATAAACTTTTCGTTTTCTGCAACGAGTTTTTCCTTTGGGTAGCTATCAACGAACTCCATTAGGGCAAACACACAGTTCAGGATCTCGTTGCCTGTCTCTTCAATCTCTGCGCTTGGTAACTTGAATCTGTAAAAATAATTGTCAATTCACAATCATAAACGCTCTGGCCACATAGAAGTGGCCGCGGAAGCGTTCTGAGCGCAGGAATATTTGTAACGCACAAGTTCATATGAACCCTGTCATAAGCTGCCTGCAAACGCGTGGCAGCCACGGTTTCACTGTGGCAGAGTTAATATGAACTCGTACATTACAAAAATTCAACATTACATTACAAAGGCCGCCTCTGTGTGGCCTGAGCATAATGGACTAACTATGGACAGGCGTGTCGCTTACCAACAGGCGCACGACTTGTTCGTCCCGTTACTTGGTATCGTAAAAAAAGAAAACTTGTAACATATGATCACATCTGGCTTTATCATATCCTTATGATTTGATTCAAAACTCACCTATGTTTCCTGCTTCTCAGCTCGATGAGGTAGCAATAAGGAATGCCGACCACTGCGTGACTCCAGTCGTTACTGGTCCCCGAAGCGCGGTACATCACGTCTTTGGAAATGCCCACCTTGTAGATTCTGCCACTTGTTTGGTAGATTGACTAATGCACAAAAAATTGTTTAAGGAATTTAAGGAGATAAGGTTCCGTATCAATGATGGTTAAGATACGATCTTATATGCCGAATCAAAGTCAAAGTCAAAGTCAAAGATTATTTATTCCATAGATAAAATAAATTTACACTTGAAAAGTCACATTTAAGCTACTGCTCGTTCACTACGCTGACCTCCCTGAGAAGAACGAGCAAGAAACTCTAGGGATTGCTCTTTTCAAATAAACTTAAATGCTATGGAATACACTTTGAATCAAATTTGTGTGGATTCTGGAGCCATGTCGTCTTTCCATACATCTTTATCTAACACGTATCTTCAATTTTGTAATATGATTTTTCGATCAAAATATTTTTAATGTAGTTTTTAAACTTAGGAAATGATAACCTTAATATATGCTCCGGAATCTTATTGTAATAAGTAACATTTACTAGAATTTAACATATATCGATTCGATTAATAATAATAAATAAATATTAGACAACATTACATACGTTGCTCTGATCCCAATGTAAGTAGCTAAAGCACTTGTGTTATGGAAATCGGAAATAACGACGGTACCACGAACACACAGACTCGAGACAATATACAAAAATTAGTTTCTACACTGACCAGGGGGTCTACTCTCGATCTCCGTCCGACATCCGTCCGAAACAATTACTGTCAAACATTGACTTACAATTATATGGACGTCGGGTCCGCGCTAAAAAGTGTCCGAACTTATAGGGCGTTAAAATCGTATACAGAGCGCCATTCACGCTTTAGTCTTCGTTTGTTCGACTGACAGCGAAGTAAGCAAAATTAGACAGTACTGCGATGACATTACAATTTAAATTCAACGTTTTAGCTTTTTCATATTCCTTTGCATGTCACTACGTTTAAATAGGTTGACTTGGGACATTTTTTTCGTGGTTTTTGTATTAGACCCGTCGTCCATTTATTTGTAAGTAAATGCTGTGAAATAAATAATATTCGACAAGATTAAAAGACAAGTATCAAGTATGAAGCTTTATTCGCATCACGCGTCTTTTCATTTGGTCAAGTATTACTTATTTGGCAGTAATTGTTTCGGACGGAGATCGAGAGTAGACTCCCTCGCCCGGGATCGAACCCAGGACCTCGGAGAAGGCGACACCATGAAAACCGGTGTGCAAGCCACTCGACCAAGGAGGCCGTCGATTCGATTATCGATTAAGTCTCAATCGTGTATAAATGTATTATATTTACCCAGACGTTTCGGACGTCTTACAAGTCGCCGGATATGAGTGACGTGTACGGTATGCGGTAGTTAGACGAACTCACACGTTAAGTCCCGATATTAAATTCAAATAATGTGTGATTCTTTTGTTCTATAAGTTTAAGAAAGCTGAACAAATATAATAATTTTTCCATATTCATGATTGGATCTTCCCTTAAAATTGTACTCTACAATGTTGTAATATTTTTATTATTTCTTGAAAGTCCATTCCATTATAGAACCCTAAAATAAATTGTAACTGACAACAACAAAAGGCAGATAAGATAAAGGACGCTCAAAAAGAAACTGAATTATTTTGAGTGAATCATGGAAAAGGTTGATGAGTGCAGGTAAAGAAGGAAAGAGACAGAAAGTATACTCGTGATATCGAGTATATAACCAGAAATAGAGACGAAATATCATTTAGTTTGTATGAAAACTATTCTGCTAAATCACTACGGTGACAACTGCGCTCTGATTGGCCAGCCCGAATTCGAAACAATTGACGGATGTCGTCAATTGTTTCACTTCAAATCGACCAGCTTTGCTATAATGGACGAAAATTGAAAAATTACATATTTAATATTTAAGAACCGATGAAAAAGTTACGTTTGTTTTGCAAATAGATGTTTTGCTGTTTTTCCCACACCACCGAATGGAACAGCCCCCTATAGTTAGAGATATTATCTTTATTACAATAAATACAGAATATTTTTGGAATATATAGAGACGTACACACAGGTCAGTTGTTGGTGCTGTACTATTTCAGCTTTCTAAATTGTGATTTCAGCGCAAACGAGAGTTGATATTTAAAAGCGATATAAGGCCCATTTGCTTGATGTTTTGCCAGGAATAGATGGCCCTTATTTCGTCTCTATTTCTGGTTACGATAACTCGTGATAAAGAACACATCAAATTTATTGAATTTGGAACGGTATTCCATACCTCAACTTTTGTTAAATAATACTTGCTTGGGCTTACTACAGGCCTACCACTTAACAGAGTCGAATTCCTAAGGTAGCTGCGCGGTGCGGAAGGTTTACTAACAGTAATGTCGCGCTAAACATGGAATAATTTCAACAATATTTTTTCTGACTATTTTCAATAGCAGGTTAATTGCTAAAAGTGCCTTCCAATTTAGTCAATTGTTGATATTGGAAACGACAATAAAAAAAACTATTTCCTTGATCATTGAAATGCATAGACAAGCCATTTCGTACTTTTTACAATCAACTTGTTATTGAATATCGTCACGTTATGTAAGTAGTCACTCCTCCCGCACCTCGCAGCTTCCTCATCTTCCAACTCAGATATAAAGTAAGCCAGTAGTTGAGATTTTTTGTGTTTGTACTTATGATTCGTTATTCGAATTGGAAAAGTAATGAGTTTAGTTTGTACAGTCAAGAGCACATCAAGCATGACACTTTGTACTTTGGACCGTTCTAATCGTAAGCGGCATAGAGTTGGAATTAAGTTTTAAGTGCAAAGTTTGACGTGTTCTTGACCCTGTACATCGAAAAAGAAAAGTTAATAGCAGTAGAACAATTTGGTAGCAGTTTGCTCTCTATGAAGTGTTCTATTACAATAATAGTTCACACTCTATTTATATATTACGTGTTTTTTAATGATGTAATGAGATGTACATATTTTTTTATGTATTATGCTTTGATACGTGCAGTCTAGCCTGATAAAGTCTTTTGCAAATTTTGATTTAATGTGTAAATTGTAAATTGTTTATACTTATACGTTACCGTATGTACTTTACTGAAATAAAGAAATTTGAAAGAAGAAAGAAAATAGCGGTAGAGCTCCTTGTTTAAGAGTTCGTGAAAGAAAGTACTGCCGTACCAGTGAAAGAGGTATATTTCTGCTGTCAAGCATTAATGTGAGCATGCTGGACTACAGTCACATGAGACGTGTGCAGCGTTAGTGTTCCTCAGATCTTTTTAGATTAGTAGCAGAAGAGCTATTTGTGAAAGAATTCGTCCAGGGAAGTACGCACACCTTACCTTGCCGATTTCAGTCGCCAACCAGTAATGTTAAACTAGGGACTAGGGCGTGAGCCTATGTATGTGTGTGACTGAACTAAACTCACCATACGGATAAACTTACGCCGGATAATATTATGATTCAGCCAATTTGTAGGCCTACAAAATGGAAATTTCGGATTTACTCTTATGACACTGATGAATATGTATGTACCTTTGCCTAATACATTTAATTTTTCGTCTGATGATGAAAATGTTTTTGATATGATTTGTATGACCACAGAAGCATAATTTTTTTCTGTGGACATAAGGTGATTATTTTTTGTTCCTTTTTGATAAGCGATGTTTAATTATACTTATTATGTGGTTAAATAAAATTCATTTAGAAGTGTATTTGTTGTGTTAATAAAAAATATGTTCTTTGGACAAATTTTTATTCAATTTGTTCTTTTCTGAGACATCAAAAAAATGTGATTTATTCATTGACTTACAATTATATGGACGTCGGGTCCGCGCTAAAAAGTGTCCGCACTTGTAAGGCGCTAAAATCGTATACAGAGCGCGACACTCCGCTTTAGTCTTCATTTGTTCTACGGACAGCGCGATACTGCGATGACATAACAATTTAAATTTCGAATAGGTTGACTTGGGACATTTTTTTCGTGGTTTTTGTATTAGACCCGTCGTCCATTTATTTGTAAGTCAATGGATTTATTGCTCAAATATTGAAAATTGATCTCAATTAATATAATTACACAAATAATAATAATAATTAAGCGCGAACACTGACTTTTTTTAAAATTTTTCCTAATGTTCAGTTTTTGTGTTTTATCCATTGTATGTGTTCCGGTTTTGAAGGGTAAGGGTGCTGCTGGTGAAATTACAGGCACATGGGACTTGTCAACTTATGTCT